GGAATCAGCAAACGTTTTCAAGTTTGAATGCATTTGATGGTGAATATCATCCATCCTTTCAGATCAAACCATCATAAAAGAAGTGTACTACAGTTTAAGTGAGACCATGGTAGTGGAACTTAATAGATCATCTTGATATATTCAGAGTGGACAAAGGTGTTGTCAGAGTATGACAGCAATTTAGTTGTTATAATTGTGAAAAAATCCCAGAAACCTCCTTTGCAACAAACTCACAATGACTTTACTGTATCCAACATGACCATTTTTCTCATAAGAAATAAGATGTTCATTATTGTCAGAATATTCATATACTGTATTTGAAGAATACTGGGTGTTCTTTCACCAAAAGTGTATATTCTGTATCAGTATAGATAAATAAATAGTAATGTCAAAATGCAACCTGTTTCTTTCTATAAGCAAAATGCAAGTTTATTTTTTTTTTGTTCTTTCAGACTCATTACATACATTCTTACCTTTGAGTGCAATAAAACAAAATACAATTACTTTGGCACACAAAGGTAAAGTAGTTCAACTACTAAATGTAACACATAATTTGGCAAATGATTCCTTATTAAGAATATTAAGCAATTTCAGTACCTGACCAGTAAGTTCAAACTTGTTTGAACACCTGGAATGTAGCATAATATTGTATTCTGAATGAAAATGTTAACTATCCAGTGTTTATTAGAAAATAACAAGATATTCTACTGTTGGAACACAATGAAGGTTTGACATACTTCAGTAAAATTATCAGCTGTGTTTGAGTGTTTTTTCTTTCATCATGCTTTAATACATTTTCCTTCTGTACAATTTTAATTTTGTTGTGTAATCAATACCTATTTACCAAGATCTGTATGCACTTGATATATTACACTTACAGTTTCAATAGCTCTCCTTGTAAAACGATGTAAAAACTATATGTTTATTTTGCTGTAATGTTCAAATTTACATAAACAATTCATATTACTGAAGTATAGAAATGTATAGGTTGATAATATGTATCTAACATAGTGATTTTATACAACTTAGTTATTCATTATTAGGTAATAATACTTTAAGAAATTTAGTATATCCATATTAAACAGCTACTTGAGAATTGATCTCAAACCACATTAGTCTAATATTAACTTCTTTACCAGTCAGAATACTTATTACTGTGTTATGAAGGAAAATGTAATTTAATCACATAATTGTGTATAGCTGTAAAGGCATTTTGAACTAAACATGTTTGTACCAAAGTTTTTAAATCTCAAAAAAGTCCTTTAACAAATAGTAGCTATTATAATCATCACTTTTCATAAAAAAAAAAGGATTTCATATCTAATACTTATAAAAGTGTAACAAAATCAAGATTTGCTCTATATTTTTAATATGTTGTAGTCTCTTCCAATTTTTACTGATGAATTAAACCTGCATATTTCAAACTGGGGACCACAACACGAAAAGGAGTAGCAGGTCTATTATAGGGTGTCGTGAAATCATAAAAAACATTATGATAGCAGATATTTAAGGGTAGTACAGTCATTTTTCATTTTGTATGTGTAGTGGGGGTTGTCACAGCCTAAAATATTTTTAAAGAGGAGCCCATCAAAAAATGTTTGAGAACCTCTGAATTAAACTATAAGGTAACTCTATGATATTTCTGACAGGTAAAAATGCACAGTACCATGTTAACAAAAGGGGAAATAATAATTATACACTTATACTGTGAGATAGCAAAATTTATTTTGTTATGGTATTGTTTACTGTTCATTTATTATTCCTTCTGTTGTTTAGTTCAACTATGAATTTTTAGTCACATCAAAATACTAACTCACCTTATATTTAGAGCATGTTGTTTTTGAGTATGTATGTATTATGAAACTGGCAAAAGCTTCCCCTAGTGGTAATGTACAGATATTAATGTTGTAAAATATTATGTAGATTTATGGTAATAGCTAGTCACATGAGATGTAACCTCATGGTCTAACCACTAAATAAAATGCTTTCCTTGATTTTGAAAATGATTTAGATAATAATAAATAATTAGAATTATTGCTCAATATTGAGAGGTGGTTTAATTTTGATACATTGCATTATTCTCTGAAGCATTTGTTTTTGTATTCTTCTGGTTCTTTTTCCCGACTTTTTTGATGTTTATTGAAATAAATCACATTGAAATTTATGTTGTATTCTTTATTAACATTTGTACCTAGTCCTGGCAAGGCATGGGTTTATTATTTTTTTTTGTAAGTGATAAAATTTGTATCCTAGTTGTTTGAAAGTTTTTTTTTTTTGTTTGGATTTCTGTTGTTATATATAATTGTTTTTGTTTGTCCCTGGTTGTAGTAGTGTTTTATTTAATCCATTACAATACTAAGGGTTACTAATTATGTGTGTAATCATGACTAAAAGGACTCTGTATTCTTTTTTTTTATATGCATTATGACTTTATGGACTTTTATGCAAATTAAGTGACAAGCTCTCAAGCATAGGCAAACATGTGCAGTATTGAACAAAGTAAAAATGTTGAAATTACAGAAAAAGACTAAATTTTCTTTTGTTTTTACTCACCCGTAATGTTAACATTATCTACACATGAGCATATAATAATCTCCACATGTGGTTTAAATGTACTAAACCAAAGAGCCATTATTTATTCAACTTCAATTTTCTACAGTCTTGTACATTTAACACACACACATATAAACAAACTTTTTTGTGCTAAGTAGTTATATAACTTGTACAGACATATAAGACAAAGAACCTAATGTACCATCCAAGCCAATGTAAAATCAATAAGATTGCATAAAAAATTTTAATAATCATTTTTAACAGGACCTTGTCAGACAAAACATTTCCTATACAACCCAAAATAACTTTGTTCTAGACAAACAAGATGGATTAAAATGTATATATTAGAAATTTATCATCATGTTAGGAAATAAAGTAAGGCCCATTTCTGGTCAAATGTACATAAGTTACCTTTGACATGTACATTATAAACCAAAAAATTTTAGGATTAATTTCATTACTTGCTACACAACAGAATTCCCAGATATCTGTACTTAACAAACTTACATTTAACTAGTAAGAAAAAAAATATCAGTGATGATTATTAGTCAGTGTGAAGTAAAAATGTATTTAAAATAATTGAGAATACATATATAGCAGTAATAATGACATACTTAAGACTTCCACAAAAACAAATTGCATAAGAATATATATACATATATAATGTGAAGCTTGTTCCTTTGCAGTATTTTTTATTTTAGAATTATCATACAAATTGAACATATATATTGTTAACCCTGTTGCAAAATGGAAGATCAGAGAGGTACTTTGTATCCCATATCCTTGTATATTAATAAATACTCTCTAACTCCCTATAAGTTTTACCTAGATGTGCAAAAACCATCTACAGTTTCTGAACTGATTAGTATACAGATTAATAAAGAAAACTGGCGACTAAGGTAACTTCTTAGTAGGTCTGATAAACCTTTTGATTATTCATTTAGAACTTAAAAACTGTTTTGTTTTTACTACACAAACATTAATTAGTTTCAGTATTATTAATTATATTTAGTGCTGACTGGAGGGTGGATGAAATATCTTTAGTAACCACAAAACATGTTTTTCACCCATGTTAAGCTGTTTCATTATGCTATGGATTCTTGTCTTTGACTTCAGAAACTTATAGGAACTGTCATTAAATACCTTGTATTTAATTATGTCCAAATCCTATTTAAACAATTAAATAATACAAAGCACCACAGTTCAACTGGAGTCATAGTTTTTTTTCATAAATCATAAGCATACCAAAATTCTGTTTGCTTTTCCAAAATACTTTGCACTTTTTTCTAACTAAAGAAAATGACAATTTTGATATAACAAAATTCAAATTGATCACTAGAATTATTAAAACTTTCTAATATTTAAATTAATAGCTGTAAGAGCTTTTTTTATTATTTACGAAATGGGGAAAAAATATTATTCTATATCATTTAATTTTAATATCCATTGTAGCAATCTTAGCAACAGATACACAGGTTAAAAACATCCACATGTAACATCGCATAGTTAATAATAAATTTATTTACATAAATTGTATCAGTCCAGAAAAAATCTTTTGACATGTTCCGTTTAACAGTAATAACCAACAAAATACAGTCCATTACTCCATATATCCCAAAGTAACATGCCTAACATAGAAATTACAATTATCAGCTATCATACAATGGGCAGTTTATGCTGGTTGCTTCAATCTCTAGATAGAAATGAATTTTTCCAGTTTTCTCGCTTTTTCAATTTCCATTTTAAACAACAATGTAATTTGATTTAAATTTTCTTCATACTCACTATCATCTTGAGGCATCATGACTAGTAACAGACTTTTAGTATCACAATTATCCCAGTGTGGATTTATATAAAATACCACAAAGTATCCTCAACTGAAAAATCATAAACTATGTAACAATTGTACATAGTATTATCACTACGATATATCAAATATTTTCAAGATCATGGTGTCTATACCATGGTATTCACTCCTAATTTATTTTTTTATACTAATATAAACAAATCTGTGTTAATATTATTTATATTTAACAGTAAAATAATACGAACAAGAAAATAAACTTTCCTTTCACACACACACACAACAATATAGTATTAACATTACTCAGACAGTGAATGAAATATCTCCACATTTTCTCATCAAGTTTAGTTTATAACAGTCGATTTTGTTTTACTTAATTCAACTCTATAATTTTATAGACCGATTAAAATTTTGTTACTGGTATTAAAAAAATTACAATGTTTCTTCAAATATAATTTTTCATGTCTTTTACTCTTATTTTTTACTGTACAACACTATATTTCAAGCACATTCTGTTGGCAAAAGTATTTCTTGAATATATTGTTGTAAGTGATCTATGTTTGCATATGCTTACTACTATTATATTTGTTGTGTTCTGCTAAACTATTGTTGATATTTAAACTTGCTCTTAGAACACTCCTGTGGTAACCTGATGACATATCGGGTGTTGGATGAACATTTGAATAAACATAGTTATACACACATTATGAATACTTCACTTAATGTTTAGACTATATTTTTTAAATACTTACAAATAAAAAGCTTAAATAATAAACACTTGATGAAGCTGCAAACATTTAGACAATTTCCAAATTTGTTGTTATTATCACGAAAATACTATTGTTTTTTCTAACAAGATTACAAGTTACTGTTATTTTTTCATGTTAAGCCACATCCTTCATTGAAACTCAGAAGTTTAGTATTAACACTAATTACAATGTATATTCACAGAGCTTGTAGAGCAAGTAGAATGACAAAACACAATGAAAGAATTGTGAACTAATTTTTATAGGTGAGCTTATTTACTGATATAAGAATAAACTAAAAAAATGAGACTTATCTTCTGATGAGTTTCTGGTGAATCTGTATTGGCCGAACACGATAGTGTGCATGTTAGCAAGATTTCATTAATTTATTACACTGTTCATGAATTTTATTGCAAAGTCTGAATAAAAATGCAATAACTTTATATATATACCTATAAAGTATAATTTGATTTTACTTATGATGGCAAAAAGAGAAATTTAAAAGCCTGTAAATTATTAAACAAGTTTTCTTTTGAAACACAATTGTTTGAGTGACTTCTTAGTTTATTCCTTTATTTTTACATACATGTATCAGTAAATATATTTGACATTTTATTGAAATAGCTTTCTGAAAATAAATTGCTTTATTCAACGTACTCGTGTTATCATTTTTGGAAAAAATTGTCCAAGTTAATTTTATATTTTCTTGCTCTGATATTTATATCTTACAGTAAGTTGATAGGAACAACATGAATTATCTGGAGTTCATTTATGGACATAAAAAGTATCTGTGAAAAACAGATTAAGCCAAATCTGTTTGTAATCCTATATAATCCTTAATAGTTCTAAAATATCTATTTTCAAGAAAAAATATTTTATGACCTGAAAATTCACAGTTTTATCAATTAATAATAAACAGATTTGTTTAAAGAAATTATAGTCTCATTTTATAAATTGTTTGAGAGCTGCTTATTTTGTGGAACTTTTATGTTGCAATGCAAATTCATATATACGTACAGACGTTTGCTGTCATAAAGAAATGAACACAATGGAAAACCACAGAAATGGAAATCAAATATTCAATAAAAGTCTTGATTGTCTCCTTTTAACATTCAGCTTAATCAAGTGAGCAAATGCACTTTTTTTATATCTTGAACTTATAAATTTAAAATAATTCTCAATCTTGTTATACAGCAGCGAGTTACCAACAAGTTGATTGTAATTAAAGTAAAGAATAATAAGAATTGCCAAAGAACAGGTAGAAGTCTATATTAATCTTAACAAACTAATTATCTTGTTATATCAAACTGAAAAAACATCAGAACTAATCCTCTATGTTAACAAACTAGTATATATATATATATATATATATATATTATTTTTATTTTTTTTTTTTTTTACTTTCTTGATTGTATAAGAAAATTGCTGAGAGGCAGCACATATACTCAGCTCTAAGCTTACACAAACGTTGAGCTAAAATGAAAAATATCAGTTTCTCAAAGATAATGTAAAAAATACAATCAGCTATGACATATTTTGACAATGTCATACTGTACTTTTATTTAAATTTCATGTTGCACACCTCAATGGTCCCCTGAGCACCTTTCATTCCAAGTTGTAGATCAAGAGCAGAGAATAGATAACATCCATATCTTCTACCTGAAGCTCAGTGCATATGTAGATTTTGTATGTAGTTCCAGGTGTCTGAAAATATTTGTTCAAATCAATCTTAGCTACACTAAACTAAAATAGAAAAATGCTATGAGGTTTACTTTTACTCATTATAATGTTAACTTATGTTCTATCATACCTTTCATTAACACCCAAGTAATATTAACACAACAGAAAACACCTAATATAAGGCCATTTCTTCAACAAAATTAAAGGTAAACAAATAATAATCCATTTCATAAAGAAAAAATGCTTCATTATAATAAAATGGAGAGAATATACTTTGGGATATCACAAACACCATTTATTGAAATGAAATTTCTTTCATATACATTTAAAACAATGCTGTCTGTAAAATGTACTCAGAAATATGTATGCTAATATTTAAAATATAAACTAATGTATCAGTTAATGAAACCATTATATTAACTATCACAAGACAAAACAATATTATGAATTTAACAGAAATTAATAACGATGTGATATTATTTTGAAGCTTAAAGAGAAAGACATAGCAAATACTACAACAAGTCAATGTGAAATTCACTTGGCATACAAACACTATGTTACTATCTTCTTTTTAAGTGTGAATGTATATTCCCTGAATATTAATTTTATTTAGAATTATTTATGCCTGTTATATTTTCATGTAATCTGAAATTTTCATCAGAAGTGCAATCAACATTCAGCATTAAATACAAATTTAAATCAAAATCCTTTAATTTTCCATAAACATAACTTCTCTGTTGGCTACTTTGACCACTAAAATATTAAGATAAGGAGTGTCGCTGCAGTACATTTGCTTAACTGGATGGCAAAAGTGCAATTTTACAGTGGTTAAATTGGGATTTTGAAAGAGGTGAAACTCCCTTTTGTGATCCACTTTGTAGTAGTAGTGTGGATCACAGCATGGTCTAATCAGAAGACTGGGAATGATACTGTCTTGAATCCAAAAGTTAGAACACCATTGTGGACCATTCTCTTCTCCAATTTAAATTTAACCTATCTATATAATCATTAATGCATTTGTAATAACTGCTGCTACGAAAGATTCGCATACACTTATTGTATTGCTGAAAGCATAATTTGATTAAAATAACTGTCATGTGTACTGTAAATTTTACCCTTCTATGACTTTTGAACATATATCTTTGAGAATAATGAACATTAAAAAGAGCTAATATGTACAAAAGTGCTGATTTCATGTGGTGTACCAATCTAAAATTTCTTAATTAAGAAGCACATGGCCCATTACCAGTGTTAGCTTTCATTACTTCCCCTAAAGTTTATATTAATTCTGATAAATTCAATATCGGTTATTGTGTATCAGTACGAGAAAAATAAAATTATGATTGTTTTAGTAGCTCTGATAAAGGTGAGGCTATGTTTTATCACAAGCATTAAATTCATATGGAAAACTTTAGAGCACTACAATAAATTAATAATGATATAAAAAGTCATCCTTGCTTATTGGTAGTTTTTGATGTTGCTTATACCTCTTGAAATTAGAATATAGAAAAATTATAATGCTAATGTGTGAAAATTTTAAAATTATCCAGATACACTATCAGTTGTTTATTAACTATATAATAAACTATAATAGTTTATTATATGTGATTTATAACTAATGTATTATAAAAAAAAAACAATTAGTATACTGCCTTGAAAAGTTTCATTTCATTTTAGGAAATGAGGATCTGAAATGTAATAAGGAGATATAGAAGGACAAAAGTTTAATATCTTTATTCTATTAATGCTTCTTGCTGGCATTGCAATAAACTGTGAACTGTCAATCCAAAAAAGTCCACAGAAGGAATGACTTTTTATCATCAAAAAACTGAATTCTACATCACAGGGTACAAGTATACATTATAATAAACAATTATGCATAAGTAATCAAGTAAGTTTTAGATATTAAACATTCTAAGCAAAAACCACCCAAATCATGAACATTCAATGTACAAAATACATATATATATTCTTTTTATGTCCAAGAAAAGAAGTAATAGTATCCCTTTTAAATTCATTTCAACCTATGCAATGAAGTTTCAGTTTAAGGTTTAAGATTAAGTTAAACTTAAATAGTTATCTGATGATGAGTGATTATTGCTAACAGCTCACTTAAGATATTAATTCAATAAAAATGTTAATCATATAGTTTACCTGTACAAACTTGGCTGACAAAAAATAACTTTTACGTATACTTTTATATAACTTATATTTTCTGTCTATTTTTCATGTTATTTCTAGCATTAGTATTCCACAACAACGTACGCTACTTTGGCAAAATGGGAAGAGGGCAATGACTTCTCATTACAGAAAAATCGATAGTGGAAATATCTGCTCCATTCTTTCGTTTCCTTTTAATTCTCAAACACCCGTAACGGTATGTGTTATGAACTTAGTCTTTGTAAATTATGTCATGAACGAAACCTCCTCTATAAACATTTTACTTTTGATAAGTTATACATATTCTTAATAAAAAAATGTAAATAGTATTTAATGATAACGTTACATACTTACTTAAAGTAATCAACGTCCAGATTCTAATGTTGTACTTCATAGTTCCAGCAGAAAAAATAATTTCTGCTCAGTGACTAGTCAATCCGAGTACAAAGGTTGGACCTCCCCGTGTGCTTTTTTAGTCGGTATCTTCAAATTCAATGAGCGTGGGGCACCTTGGCATTATCTTATTTTCAGTTAACACATCTGGCTACTTGAAATAAATTACAGCATTAACTGAGTTTGGCTGTATTCAACGTGTAAATAATATTAACGTGGTGTGATGTTGACATTCGCTCACAAAGTAATGTTAAAACAAAACACAAAACTTTGGTGAACCTATGTCACAAATAAACTTTTAGCGAATTTAAAAAGTCCTGCGCGGGAAGCTAAGAACATTGACAAGAGGCGTAAACATTATTGAAAAAGAAGGCTCGTTTCTTATAGACACATGAATATTTAAGCAATCTACAAGTTACAACTGAAATGAGGTTAAATTTCGAATCCGAATAAGAAGCATCACTCCACTCTGGGTTTCTCGCTACATAAAGACGGTTCTCAAACAGTCAATGACCTCTAACATAATGGCCGCTTGTCAGTATGCGAAAAGCCCAGTCACGTGACGCTAGCTTTAATGCTCTGACGTTCTTACAGGTACAACAGACAGCTTTTTATTTCAAAACAACACGTATAGTTTTACCACTAAAACAATGACTTTACATATAGCGAAAGATAAATATAAAATCGCATTCAAAAGCTTCCGTTATTTTATTTTTTACGTTACGTTAATTTCTAGGATAAAATAATAGCAAATTGTGTTTGCTCATACACTTAAGATATATTGTATGCATGTAAAACATTTTTGATGAATTTAAGACTATTTCAAAATTTTGGCTCAAAATAATGTTACGTCAGCGGAAGTCACGTGACCTGCTAACACGTAATGAGTATCTCGAAGGTTCGTGAATCCTCGAGTGTTTGCTAGATGTGTTGTATTCTAATATATAAGCCCGACAATCAGTCTGAACGGGAATAGCAGACAGTAAGATTGAAGATATAGACGAACAATTGAGTCAAGCGCGGTAGTAAGTAAACTGCGTGAATCGTTCGTTGAGAATTATACCGTGTATTGAAGTTAAAGTTAAACAAACGACCAGAGACGTAACAATAGTATCCAAAATCTCAAATTAGAAATGAAAAAATGTATCCACGCACCATGGTTAAAAAAAAAGGAGAACATCGAAATTAAGAATGATATACATATAGTAAAGAAAACAAACAATAACAATTTTGCAAAAATACATTTGATTTAAATCTACACGTGGCATCTGTGTAGAAAAAAATAAACGAAATAATGGATTAACTTCGATAAGCTTATGAACGTGGGATAAACGCTCCTTTAGCTGTTGGCTGCATATTTTTATTATGTAACTTTTGAATGAATCAAACTTTGTCGAGTATTAAAAGATTTTGACTATCTATGTAGTATTCGATGTAAAGGAATATTTGACACACAAATAAGCCTCCCAGAATAACATGAGTCTGGGATTTGGTGGATAAAATGAAACATGAAACCAAATGGACATGAGAAGATAATGACAAGAAAAATAAAATAATATCTTCATTGAATCATAAATCCATCAGATATCTTAGCAGGGTTAACTACTAATGACACTACATAGAATAATAATAATAATACTATACGTACTTACACGAACTGAAATGAGGCATCTTAAAGCCATGGGTGAAAGCCTAATGAAATGATTAA